ATGAAACTGATGCCTTGGAGATTTTGAAGAGAATTGGATATTACACGTATTACACTCATTCTCCTTTTCCGATAGATACCTTAGCCAAACTGATTCATGAGAATGACGTCTGGCGCTCACATACCTTGCGGGAAGGTAACCATGCTGCGGATCTCTTAGCTAAGGAGGATAGGGACAAAGATTGTTCTTTCATTGAATATTGTAATTTTAGGGACTGTCCTTCATCTGTAATGGCCGCTCTTATCAACGAGCGCCTCCCCTCATTTCGTTTTCATTAATATAAAATTTTCTTCCGATTAAAATATATATATATATATATATATATATATATATATATATATATATATATATATATATATGTCAATTAAATCAATCTTGACTTGGTCGAATTCAAACACCCAAAAATATAATATCAGAAAAAGAATTTCAATAAAAATGTGAAAATTATATCACTGTGTAAAGTTTGATTATCTGATTGCAACGGAATAATCAAATTTCCATTTCGAGAAAATTAGACTAAAAAGTATATCCCGATTAGAACCATTTTAGTCCATATTAGGGAAGTGTCGTATAAAAATCTCCAACGATCGCACAAGCTCAAAGAATTGCCGATGGGGAGATTAGAGGGGGACATCACAATGGATTCTTTCTCTTCTTCTACCCTATTTAAGGATCTTTGTTCTCCTTCATCTCTACACCATTTCTTCAATCAATTCTCGAGACCGACAAAGGTACGCTACGCCACATTTATCGAGAGGAAAACTCAGCAGCTCATAACCTTGCCAGACATGCACCCGAATACAATAGAATTGGTTTACTGGCAAAAACTGTTAAGGGAGCAATCACTTGTCACACTTCTTGTATCAATTTCCGAATTCTATAATACTCAATAAAAATTTGTTCTATATATATATATATATATATATATATATATATATATATATATATATATATATATATATATATATATATATATATATATATATATATATATATATATATCACCTTGGTTCCCAATGTCATGGGAACCTTCCCCTATATATGTGTGTGTGTGTGTGTGTGTGTGTGATTGACTCTAGTGAGATGACACCTTATGGTGAGATGATATGCTACGGTCAGATGACGCAAGGGTCACCACGAGTTACTGCAAAGCTCATCAAAGACAACTGCAAAGCTCACCAAAGTATAAAGCAAAGCTCACCATGTTTTTTCAACGCTTTGAATTTTTTTTTGAAAAAATAAAATCAAAGGAAGGGGTGCTGACTAGATTTTGAACGTTGACCGGGACCTTTGACCGCCGCCTACTGCCTGCCACCGCTAGTTGCCGGCCGCCGCCGCCGCTCTGCCGCCGATCGCCGGCCGTCAGTCTTCGCCGCCACCGCCGCCACCGCCGCCACCGCCGCCACCGCCGCTCCGCCGGTCGCCGGCCACCGCCTGCTGCCGCCTTTGACCGGTGGTTGACCGGTGTTGTTATTTTATTTTTTTATTAATTTTTTAATTTTCAAAATTAAAAAAAAGATGAGTTTTGGTGTTCAAAGTGGTGAATTTTGCTTTATTTCCAGGTGAGCTTTGCATTGTCCATTGGTGAGCTTTGTAGTGTTGTGTGGTGAGCTTGGCGTCATCTCACTGAAGCATGTCATCTCACCGTAAGGTATCATCTCACTGGAGTCAATTCCTATATATACTAGCACTTTGACCCGTGCCATGCACGGGGTTGAACAAAATCTTTTTCGATTCTAACATTTTTTCAATACAATATTTTTTTGAAATAAAGATAATATATTTCTCACAAATTTTTAATAACATAGAAAAAAGACAAAGTACTTAACATAGTTTCTTTTAATACTAAATTTGTAACACCCTAATCCGTCCAGGTATGCAGCCCCTTTCGGACTAACGTATTAATTTGGAAATCGTAAAAATTTAAAACATTTCAACACTTTTATTCATCATAAATATTATTCACTACATAACTGTAGCGAAATACGGAGTGTTTAATAATAGTGCGGAAGCAATTTAAACCATGCTTAATAACAACACAATTATTCATTTTAAAATCACAAATTCCACCACGACATTCTCGCCCCTTCCGCTGCTAGGAACATGTCAATCATTCATTCTGCCTACCTGCGTGTAGCAAATAAAACATAGTACACGCTCAGCGATGAAGCTGAGTTAGCATATCTAAAGCGTCGAACATCCACATAAATTGAATCTCAATTCACAAACAACCATTTGATATCATGCACACAACATATAATTCATTCATGATATTCTCAATATTTTTATTTCAATATCTCAATATTCAACATTCATATTTAATATTCAACAATATCCTTAAACTATGCTTAGTCTAAGGCCAATCTTTTTGATGTTTACCAATTTTTAAACTAATTCTAGTTCAAGGTACTTCTATCCAACTCTTAAGCTAGGTCATTAGTTTAAGGTACATATATTCCGATTGATTTACCAACTCTTAAACTAGCTTTCGCTTAAGGTACAAATCCAGAAAACCGAACAGTAGAATACTAACTGTCGGGTTGGGTGGTATCCCCAAACGAGTTCCTCTAGTTTGGTTTATGGATCCCGTACGTACGTTTTTACCCAAGGCCACCGAATATACATATCTATACTCGCAAGACCCATTCTAATCAGAAGTCTATTCTAGAGGTCTTCTAGATAGCCTTAACAACTCATTTTTCATCAATCCATTTATTTTGATTCTAGTTCAATATTTCATAAGCATCATTTTATTCAGAATAATCATCATCATTAATCCATAATAATCATGCAGCACAATTATCAATTAACATAACATTCAAAACAATAGCAATTAGCGGTCTAACTTCGAGTGTTAACACTCTAGATTACTGTCATGCATCATATAAGGTTATTGGATTTGTTAAAACATCATTTTTATTTTCAAAAATCATTTCTATATTGATCATATTTGTATGTCAAGAATATGTTTTAAAATAAGTTTTCTGCATAAAATAATCGATTAAACGGAGATGGAAAATCAATTAATTGCTTCTGTCTTCAAATGTTTCAGTGGAACAGAGAGATAATCGATTAAGAAGGATGAAATAATCGATTAATATCTACTAACTGATTAAATTAGAATGCCTTAATCGATTAACGTAAATTAATCTATTAATCAACCATGAATTAATCTATGAATCTAAATTAATCTATTAATCAATACGAATTAATCTATTAATCAAGATTAATCTATTAATCCATACGAATTAATCTATTAATCAAGATTAATCTATTAATCCATATGAATTAATCTATTAATCAAAATTAATCTATTAATCAATATGAATTAATCTATTAATCGATTAAATAGAATGAGTTAATCGATTAATGTCTTCTGTTCATCCTCTTCTTCCTCGGTCCATTTTTCGAAAATATCATTTTACTTGCCAAACTTCAATTAAATTATATAGAAATGTTCTCAAAGGTTCATGGATCATTTTACTACCATTAATTCATGATTTTAACATCAAATTCAAGGTTTATGATTCTTGGTTCTTCAAACATGTCAAACACAAAACTCAACCAATTGACCATTTATGAACGTAAAAGCAACCTACATGAACATTCTAGTCTTTAGATATATCTACGGGCTTACCTCGAAGCTTATCGAAGGAGGCGAAACATCCGGCGAACACCATGGCTTGCTCCGGCGACCTCGGCGGCAACTAACTAATGCAAAATGCTCTATTCACTCTCAGGAACATTATGACACTAATTTTAGAAAGATTGGTGAAGAAATGAGAAGGATGGAGTTTCCCTTTTATAATGGTGAAGCGGAAGAGAAGACACAGGATGCTGAGCTGCTGCTGCGTAGGATTTCCAATTGAGTGATCTGCGCTCGGCGATAGTGAGATATTATATGCCGTTCCCTGATTGGGAGTAATTTTGGTCCCAATCGGGGCACACTTTTTGGTTCAACTTTCTCCAAATCAAATTCTGTTTGCACCGTTATGATCGAGCAGTTAAAATCTATCCAACGATATAACTTTTACATTGGTTTGTAATACTTTTCCCGAAATCATATTTTTGGGTGTTTGACTTTGACAGAGTCAAAATTGGTTTTATTGACCTTTATCACAAAAGGTTCTCAATTTAATTTATTCTCATGGTTTATTTCAAGAATTTATTTCAAAGTTCACTTAATAAACAAATTATCCATTTATTCTTAATTTGGGTATGTACTCAGGTTCTGTAACACCCCAACCCGCGTAACCCAAAACCACGAGTTAGCGAATCGGGTTGTTACGAATTTGGTATTCACATGTATAATATTTTTAAACACTTAGAAGTAAAGCGAACATTTATAATTATTTAAAAACAATTCATCATTTAATCGGAGTAAATATCTGAAACGCTGCGGAAGCCTTTAAAACAACATCATCAAACATCTTGTTGTTTAAACAAAATAAAAGTCAACAAGTATTTAATTCAATTTTAAACAGTTTCGGGCCATCCACCAGCGTCACGTTTCACTGTCCTGCAGGCTGCTCCTCATCCAATCCTTGATTCCTACCTGTAAAAATAGGGAGAGTGGAAGTATCTAACGCTAAAACTAACTCATAGATTAGTACCCATTAGTGTATGATCAAACAATATCAGAAGTATCAGAAAATATCGTTATCCAACTGTACCACTATTTACCCTTTTAATTCAGATTAGTTCTTTTACATACTTACTCCATCTGCCTGCTAGATATAATCCAATTCATACTTACGGGAGTAATGAAATCCAGGCTCTCGCCCAAACCCACACTCATAACTCCAAAGCTCTCGCAAAGGAGGGGGTTGAGGCCCCCGCTGGCTCTCGCCAGGGGTCAATGACCACCGTGCGCACGTTTTTAACCCTCGAAACCACGAGGTGTACGCCGTCACCTGCATGACCTTAATTTCTAATCTCAATCCTATTTGTGATTTTCAATATACAATCCTACAATTCAACTCAGCTCTGAATTATTTCATAACATATAATTATCACAAGTCCTCAAGTTATCAAATTTAGATTACTTACTAGTCATACCAAATCTTCGTCTAGAGTATCATGAATGGGCCAGATTATAATCAATTTGAAAGCATGGGGCCAAATCCGAATCTTAAACCTAAAACTCTAGTTCCTTAATTGAAAATAGTCAATCCGTTGCCCCTGCGTATCTTCTTCCTTTTTTTATCCCGTAGCATTCCGATCGGCAGAGGCGGCAAAGCTCAGCCGTAGAACGTCAGCGGCTAAACGACATCCCGGAAGTAGAGCAACGTACAGAGCAAAGGGGAAGCCTCCTGTTCCCAACTCCGGCGACAGGGAAACAGGGCAGCGTAGAATAGAAGGGAGTAGATGGGGTCGAGATAGAAGACGAACATGGTGCAGAGTAAAACAATTTTTGCAATTCGATTTAACATATTCAATATTCAAAATCGCAAATCCAGCGCCAATTGATTGAAAACATATTAACGAATACTAATCTACGAATTGATTTTAACGAGAGATAAATCACTCACCTCCATTAATCAAAGAATTCTAAATCCCGAATCAAATGAGATCGCTGATCTGTTTTCAGTCTCCTACTACCCGCACGCCAAAAGAGGAAGGAACCGGAAACGATGTACGGCGCTTGTCGCCTGAAAACACGAAGGAGAATATGGCGAGGAGTTCCCCAAGTTGAATCACGTAGAACCTTCGAAGAACTCCTGTGTTTCTCCATGATCCGATCGGCGAAGAGAAGAAGAAAAGTCTAAAGTTGTTGAAGAAACGGCCGATGAGAAACAGAGCCCAGCGTCAGGTATATAAATGGATATGCGGTTTGGGATTAGGCAATTGAAAAATGCTAGGGGTACACCACCACCTCCTCCATAACCACATAAAAAAGGCAAGACACTAAAATAAATTAAATAAATAAAAATAAAATAAAATTGAGTGGTGGAGAGAGAGATGATGTACAAATGGGGTACATCTTAGCATTGCTCTTAGGCAATTACAATCCTAGTGGTTTTAGTAACGCATGTACGTATATTATTAATTATTATTATATTATAAAAATCCTTTTATTTACTTATTCAACTGTAATTTTTATTTTACTCACCACGCTTTACAGAAAAGTCTAAATTTTACAAACTATATATCGTTTGTCACCATTTTACGAGATTTACCCAAAAATCTAATTTTTAATAAAAATGGTCAACTTTACAAATTATTCATATTTTGGAGTCAATAAATAATATATTTATTTTTTTATATAAAATTTTCGACTAACTACTAAGCCAGTTTTCGAGGTGTTACAGGTTCCCAATTAAGATCACACAATAAGTCAACATATTGGATTTATCTCTATGAGATTTATCCCAAATATATTTATTGGACATCAATACATATTTTATTTCGGCCTAAAGCCCAGCAATAATTTATTTTAATCAAAACAAATTTGATTAATTGAATATTTATTCATTAATAATTCTAGGGTATGTTTTGGGGCGTTACAAAATTTTCTAAAAAAAACCTCAGGGTGTAAAATATTTTTGGTATGGTTGTAAGAGTTTCATTTTCATCTAGATTTTTTTAATTGTGTCTTTGTATTCACTTATGAAATAGAAACATAAAACTGAGCATGAGTGAACACTGACTTGGTTAAAATAATCCAATAAATGATAATATTCGACCTTGATTTTTGTCCAATGTTATTGCAAAACATAAAACCATTTAGAATTGTCTTCTTTGGAACTTCAGGGTAGTTCTAGACCGAATGGAGCCAAATTCATCAGGGATATATTAACCTTTTCCCCGACTTGATTTCCCAAACAACAATAACACTGAACTGATAACATTCTCCCCCCCCCCACCCCATCCCCCCTCTGCTTTTAAAACTCTTTTATGGTTTAGGATTCCAAACATTTGGTTTCATTTTCATAAGTTATTCTTGAGGAGATAACTTATGTCGAATTCGGGTAGAATATCAACGTCACTTGTTCCATCAATCACTTTTCCAAGTTTTCCATCTCCAAGTTTGAGTATCCCATCAGAAAAAGGTTGTGTGTGTTCCTATCCGTGCAAGAGGGCATTGATGAATGCAATCTTACTCTTTGTTAACATATAAACTTTACAATAAGACCACAATTTTGATGAATTGATGGTAGCACCTACGGGTCAATTATGTTTTGTCTCTTATGCACGCAAAAAGCTTGATGAATTTAGTGTAAAATTGTTATCTGCTTGAAGCACTGTATAGATAATTTTTTAGAAACAATGTACTGGAAATATAAAATATTTAATTCAAAATACAAATACCATGTGTCACATCACATAGCATATATATTACATCTTAAATGGGTTTGATTATGCGTGGCTATAGTCAATGACGATCCATCTCTATCTGTATATGTAATATCTAACATAAAATTATACTAATATTTATCTCATGAAAAAGTAAATGTTTTTTGAACTTTTTTTGGCATGTGTTATAAATATTTTTTTTTTATACATAACTTTTTAGAATAAAAACTTTGGTCCATAATGCCTTTCTAATGTATATTAGAATGAAAAAATCAACTAAAAATTTGACCAAAAAAATTTAAAAAGAACACCGATTAAAATTTTGTCCCTAAGTGATGTTGAATAATAATAAGAATAATAGTAATAATAATGATGATGACAATGATAATGATGACGACGACGATGATGGTGATCATGATGATGATGATAATAATAATGCTCTATCAATAATGGCATGTTTATTTAATAGAGCTCTGTCAATAATAATAATAATAATAATAATAATAATAATAATAATAATAATAATAATAATAATAATTCTCTATCAATAATAATCCAATTTTGTAAAAATAAAAAATAATATATAAAAAGAAATAATTTTTATTGGCATGTTTATTTAATAGAGCATTATTGATATTTCATATACATTAAAAAAGTTCTAAGTCTAATAAAAAATACTCCCTCTGTCCCTGAGTATTTGTCTACTTTCATTTTTGCACATCATCCAATGCATTTCTTTAATCCATTTTATCTTGTAATTTGTATATTAAAAAATTATAAAAATTATATATTAATAATCTATATGTTAAGACGAATCAAACAAGATCACACATGACTATTTTTAGGCTTACACATTGAGAGAATTTGATGAGTCAAAGTGTTTAGATAAACAGTTCCAAAAGTCAAAAGTGGACAAACATTCAGGGACGGACCAAGTATGCTTTATTTTAAAATTTGTATTTTTCATTTTAAAGTTACAATTTTCCATTAATAGCTTTATAAAAAAATTTAGATTTATGCCACAAAATTAACTATCTTTCATTAATAACTTTCTAAAATGGTTAAAGTTGGTACAGTAGTATTTATATTTAATAAGTTAATTTTAATCGGTGTTCACAATCAAAATATTTATGGCATAATATTAATTCTTATAAATGCATTTACTATCAAATAATATTCTTAGATACAACTCCGTATTTTTTAGGGAATTCTTAGAAACCATTTGTTATATTCTAGGTTTAAAATTAATTGTTATATTCCTAAATGGTACACACTTCATTTACGGAAAAATACACAGAATTTGGAAATTGTAATAAAAGTTATTGATAGATGAAAGATAATATGGAGTATATGTATAATATTTACGTGCTTAAAGCTAATACTACAAATATTATAAGGAAAAGAGTTACCCTTATACCTTTTTTAAAATAACAAATGATGATATCTCTCCATCTGCATATATAATATCTATCATGTGTAAAATATTATACTAATATTTATTTTATGGAACATTACTACTTTATCATACTTCTTTTTAGCATGTCTTATAAATATATTTTTTTCATTTTTATAAATGATAGTTTATCAAAAATAGAAGCTTCCGGTTACTTATGAAGCATATGTACTAATCATTATATAAATTATTATTTTGAAAAAAAGCAAAAATGGGAAGTGGTGGGTAGTTTTACAAATTTACATAAAAATAAATTTATCTTGTCGCATATTTTCAATATTAATTAAAATATTTGTAACTGCATATGTCCTATTCCAGTCCTGAGGGGAGACACCCATTCAGTATCTCCAATTCTCAAAATGAGAGACCAAGAAGGCACAATCACTCATTTAAGCAATTCTACAAACCGGGGAGACAACATAGGTGGAGACCATGGACCCCCAAGGCTAAGGTAGGTAGCAATTACCAGTTATGCAATGGCCATAAGAACAGCAGAGAAGTCCATTTCGTTCAATATTCAGGTCCATTCTCTCCTAACTTTGGACTTTTCTCCATTCAAATTGAAAGTAAAAGGTATGACTTTCATTTCCATGATGTCATAAACATCTCAGAGTGTAAAAATGGATTTGTGTGTGCTGTGACGTTGTCATTGAATTCTTGTTTATGGCTGATTGAGTGTTTAGAACATCTACTATGGACCGAGAGAAAATGGTCATGGAGCAGGTTTGAAAATAGAAACTATGTCTTCAAGTACAAGCAGATGATACAGTAGAAGCGGAGGGTTCTCAGATGAAAATAGAAACTCTGTCTTCAAGTTGCCAATCTAGAGGGTTCTCAGGGTTTAGAAGCAAAGCAAGAGAATACAGTAGAGCCCTTTATCCTGAACCAAGGAGAGCAACTGATTATTGATGGCCTGTTAAAGCAAGCTCCTTTTCAAGTACAAGAAGATGGACCTATTCAAGTTGAGCTCAATCTTCAATTGATCGATGATAAAGAGGACAAATTGGCAAGAGGAGATCACCACAAAGAGTTTGAGATTCTTTTGCTTCTGTTTGAGAAGCATATTAGTGATGACTTTGAGCAATCTATATGGGTCATTAAGGAAGCGTTGCGCTCCCCATTCATCAAGGAGAAGATTCAGAAAGGACTTGTTAGGACTCTTGAGGGTAAGGCAATAAAAGCAACAAGGGAAGCTATGAAGAGTGCTCAATGCATTAGGGCAATAAAACTGAAAGGTACCCGACATCAGGTTCTTTTATCGTGTGCCAACATTGATGAACCGATCTTAACGGCGATGTGTGGTCAACTCATCGACTATGATTGACAGGGGAAGTTTCCTGGGCAGAATCAGAACGACTTTTGAAGCTCTTTTGTTTAGGTTGTTTGGCAGGTTTGAACTTGTTTGTGATGATTGATCTGGTTTGCCTTGGACTATCGTACCTGGAATGTTTAGCAATCTGGACTGAATATTGGTAGCATTACTATTATTGGCAATTCGTATTATTGATCATCACATTTGGTCGCATGAAGTTCTGCTGAATGAAGTCCTGGGATTTTAAATTTAGTGGAAGGGTTTATTTTTAAATATGATTGAAAATGTGGACATCACTTACTGTGTTGGATCTCTACCGGATTATTTGCTTTGGATTATCTAGCGTTTGGGATCATTGGAATGTGCTAGTGAATTGGGTTGGATGGTCGAGAACCAGTGCCGAGATCTACTTCTATTTCTTATGAGCATTTTTATTTTGAGTAATTTCCCTAAATAAGACTAAAACATAATGACTTTCCCAATATAGTATGATATGTTTTTATTTTCCAATGTAGGAGTTTTGGTCATTATTAATTAGTCATTATTCAAGTAAATGTCCATCATTACTGGACATTATTCCTCCACTAAGACATTATTAAGTCCTATTTAGGTAATAAAAAAGTTTAAATCTTAAATTAGAAAAGTCATTATGTTTTAGTCCTATTTGGTGCAAAATTTCTTATTTTGAGTAATTTACCTATTTCGTCATTATGTTTTAGTCCTATTTCTTATGACCATTTTTATTTTTCACATTACTTTGGACTATTGTACTTGGGTTGTTATGTTGGATTTTTCTTGTGCTTGGTTTTGACCGTCTTATTGGTGAAGTACAAAGCTGAGCTAATATTAGACTCAAGGATAGGAAGAGAATCTATTCCTCGAGGGGTAGATGAGTCTAATCCTGAATCTGGAGCTGTAATAACTTGGCTTTTAGCTATTGTAGAAGAATCTGGGTCCTTGTGGATAGACTTGCCCTGTTGTAATGTAGTATTTGATTTATCTTTAGGAATCCATTCTTTAGTAACTTTAGAGGACGTAGCCTGGCCCCTCTTGAGTTTTCCCTTACCCAATGTCCAGCCATCCTCCCTAGTTACCTTGATTGGATTGTGTGAGTGTGTAGCCTGGCACTTCTTAGAATTGTCTTCTAATATCCAGCCATCACTCACCCAACGCTTCTCTGTACTATGCACAATTCCTCTAGTGTTTG